TCCGCCACCCCCGGGAGGGTGGGTAGTAGCCTTTAGTTCTACCCTGATACGTGATGGCACGCAACAACAATTTCTGCTCAATTTTCTAGTTTATTCAGATCCTTTCGAACTCTCTTCCTCTCTTCCAATGCAGGAACCACCATTCCCGGTTTTGCGTCACCTGCAGACTTGACAAGGATTCCCTCCATCTTATCATCTAAGGGGTTCCCAAACTTTGGCCCGCCAAATGCTTTGGACTTCAACTTCCAGAATTCCTGACTGTTGATTAAGCTGGTTGGGGCTTCTGGGGGTTGTAGTCCAAAACACTTGAAGAAGCAAAGTTTGGGAATTCCTGATGGTCACTGATAAAAATGTAAAGGGTAATGGCACACCATGTGAGACCTTCTTCCAGTCTGAAGCACACCCATTGATGATGACTCTTTTGAGTATGGAGTATTACTAATTTCTTTGTTACACCTCCATCCACCTTTTCTGGAGAGCTCATGATGGTGTCCATGTCTTTTTCTCAAGGTGGTGTCCATGTCACTTTGTCCTCCCAGCAACCATGCAGTAGTTCCCAAACTTTGGTCCTCCAAGTGTTTTGGACTTCAACTCCCAGAAGCCCCAGCCAACCTGACCAACTGTCAGGAATTCTGGGAGTTGAGGTCCAGAACATCTGGAGGACCAAAGTTTGGGAATCAAACCGTATTTGAAGGGGAGAAAGTGAGTGACAGGCCAATTTTCAAAGAGAGAGCCAACTCTGATATAGTATAGGAGGGAAAGAGGAGAAGGAACCGAGCAGCGGTTTTAAAACTAACTGGCTTATTTCTGGCTTATGTGTTTTCATGGATAGCTTTATTTATTTATTTATTTATTTATTTTTAATATGCACCCCACTTTCCCCCCAAAATTGGGACTCAAAGTGGCTTGCAGTTTATTACTATTATTAACTTTTATTTATAGAGCACTGTAGAATATAAAAAACCCAGTACAATGAAAAATTTACAAGAGTGTCAATTAAAACGGAATAAAACTATTATAATATTAAAACATCAACGCTCTAACCACTACACCACAAGTTCGTGCCACCTGCGAGACCTGAACCTGGGACTTCCTGCTTTTTGTAGCTATGACTCTTCGCCATGATGCTCCAGCAGCCTTAAAATAAATGAGAATGGCTTGAATCCTAATGGTCATTCCCACAAGTAGATCTATTGAATTCATTGTTGACTGGTGAGTCACACATAAGTAAATCCCACTCATTTTATGAGTCTACTCTGGTTGGTAGAGAGGCAGGGTGGTGTAGTGGTTTGAGTGTTGGACTATGAATCTGGAGACCAGGGTTTAAATCCCTTTTCAGCCACTTGGTGACCCTGCAGAAATCACACTCTCTCAACCTCAAATGAAGGCAAAGGCAAATCCCCTCTGAACAAATCCTGCCAAGAAAACCCAATATTAGTTTGCTTTATGGTCGCCATAAGCCAGAAAAGACTTGATGTCACACAACAACAACAACAGAAGAAGAAGAAGCAGCAACAACTCCAGCTGGATCTAGGATTTAGGTCCTATATGTGTTTCAAGTTGACTTTATACCAAGGACAGTATGACAAAGAATTCCCAAAAATGCACCAGGCTCCTGGGGACTAGAAATAAATACATGTAAACATGAGTCAACAGTGTGATGTCGCAGCCCCCCAAAACCCCCAATGCAATTCTGGGTTGAATCAGCAGAAGCATGGGTCCAGTTCGAGGGAGGTAGCAGTACAATTCCGTTCTGCTTTGGCCAGACCTCACCTGGATTACTGTGTCCAGTCCTGGGCATCGCAGTTCTAGAATCATAGAATCCTAGAGTTAGAAGAGACCCCAAGGGCCATCCAGTCCAACCCCATTCTGCCATGCAGGAACTCACAATCAAAGCATACCTAACAGATGGCCATCCAGCCTCTGTTTAAAGACCTCCAGGGAAGGAGACTCCACCACTTTCCAAGGGACTTTGTTCCACTGTCAACCCGTTCTTACTGTCAAGAAGTTCCTCCTAATGTTGAGG